CTGATGTCTCACCAGTGCTGAGTACATGTGGACAATCACTTCCCTAGTCCTCTGTGCCACAGTCTTTCTATTGAAAACTAGGATGCTATTTGCCTTCTTGACCACCTAGGCACACTGCTGGCTCATATTTAGACATTGTCATCCAATACTCCCAGCTCCTTTTCAGCCACGCAGCTTTCCAGCCACTCTTCCCCAATCTTGGAACATTGCATGGGGTTGTGGCTAAAGTGCGGGACCTGGCACTTTGCCTTGTTGAACCTCATGCAATTAGCCTGAACCATGAATCCAGCCTGTCCAGATCCCTCTGCAGAGTTTTCCTACCCTCCAACGGATCAGCACTCCCACCCAGCTTGGTGTTGTCTGCAAACTTACTCGATTCCCTCATCCAGATCATTGTTAAAGGTATTAAACAGAACCAGCCACACTGCTGTGCCCAGGGGAACACCACTTTGAGCTGTTGGCCATCCAGCCAGGTTTTTTGACACAGTAAGAGCACACTTGTCTAGGCCATGATCAGCCAGTTTCTCCAGGACAATGCTGTGGCAGTGTCAAAGCCTTCACTAAAGTCTAGGTAGACAACGGCCACAGCTTTTCCCTCATCCGCTAAGTGGATCACCTTATCATAGAAGGAGATAGATTAGTCAAATAGAACCTGCCTTTCATAATCTCATGCTGACTGGGCCTGATAACCTGGTTGATCTGTATGTGCCATGTGATTGCACTCAAGATTATCTGCTCCATAACCTTCCCAGCACTGAGGTCAGACTAACAGATCCATAGTTCCCTGGATTCTTCTTCTGGCCCTTTTTGTAGATGGGAGTCGCATTTGCTAACTTCTAGTCAACTGGAACCTCCCTGTTTCGCCAGGACTGCAGATAAATGATTGAAAGTGGCTCAGTGAGCACTTCCACCAGCTCTATCAGTACCTAGGTGGATTGTATTTGGTCCTATAGGCTTGTATGTGTCTTGCTCTGCAAAGAAGGACCTGGGGGTGTTGGTTGATGAGAAACATGATCCGGCTTCAGTGTGGTGCGCTCACAGCCCAGAAAGCCAACCGTATCCTGGGCTGCATCAAAAGGAGTGTGACCAGCAGGTCGAAGGAAGTGATCCTGCCCTTCTACTCTGCTCCTGTGAGACCTCACCTGGAGTATTGTGTGCAGTTCTGGTGTCCCCAATGTAAAAAAGACATGGAGCTTTTGGAGCAAGTCCAGGGGAGGCCACAAGGATGATCAGCAGGCTGGAGCACCTCCTGTGTGAAGACAGGCTGAGAAAGTTAGGGCTGTTCAGCCTGGAGAAGAGAAGGCTGAGTGGAGACCTCATAGCAGCCTTCCAGTATCTGAAGGGGGCCTATAGGGATGCTGGGGAGGGACTTTTCATTAGGGACTGTAGTGACAGGACAAGGGGTAACAGGTTCAGACTTAAACAGGGGAAGTTCAGGTTAGATATAAGGAAGACGTTCTTTACTGTGAGGGTGGTGAGGTACTGGAATGGGTTGCGCAAGGAAATTATGGATGCTTTGTCTTTGGCGGTGTTCAAGGTCAGGCTGGATGGAGTCTTGGGTGAGATGGTTTAGTGTGAGGTGTCCCTGCCGATGTCAGGGGGGTTGGAACTAGTTGATCTTAAGGTCCTTTTCAACCCTAAGTATTCTATGATTCTATGATTCTAAGAGGTGTAGCAGGTCACTGACCATTTGCCCTTGGATTATGGGAGCTTCATTCTGCTCCCTGTCCCTGTCTTTCAGTTGAGGGGGCAGGGGACCCTGAGAACAACTGGTCTTACTATTAAAGACTGAGTCTTAAACTATTAAATACCTTAGCCTTTTCCTCAGTCTTCATAGATGTTTCCTTCTGCCTCCAAAAAAAAATTCTCCTTTAGCCCTCCTTTTGTTGCTAATTTATTTATAGCAACCTTTTTTATTGTCTTTTACAGCAGTAGCCAGATTAAGTTCTAGTTGGGTTTTGGTGCTTCTAGTTGCCTGACCCTTCTTCCAAAGGTCATAAACTCCTTATTTCTCCTGAGTTCCAGCCAAACCTCTCATTTCAGCCAGTCTAGTCTTCCTCCCAGCTGGCTCACCTTTTGGCACAAGTCTCCTGTGACTTCTTGTTCCTTCTTTAAAAATGTCCCGCCTTCCTGAATTTCTTTGTCCTTCAGGACTGCCTCCTGAGAAAGGGGCTCTGTCAACCAGTCTCCTAAACAGGCTAAACTCTGCTCTCTGGAAGTCCTTCTCTTGTTGACAAACAACAGGTCTAGCTGGGAACCTTCCCAAGTTGCCTTCCTCACCAGCTGTCAGGAAGTTTTCTTCCACACATTTCAGGAACCTCCTAGATTGTTTCTTCTCTGCTCTATTGTATTTCCAGGGGATATCTGCTAAGTCCCCCATGAGAACAAGGGCTAGCTTTGCTCAGCTGCTTACAGAATATTTTGTTTGCCTCTTTGTCCTAATGTGATCATTAAGCACAACTAGAGCTCTGCAATGAATGACTATAAACTCTTCAGAAGGGATAGGCAATGAAGAAAAGGTGGTGGGGTAGCCCAGTATGCTAGGGAGTGTTTTAATTGTCTAGAGCTTAATGATGGTGATGATAGAGTTGAATGTTTATGGGTAAGAATCAGGGGATAGGCAGATGTCACAGTGGGAGTCTTCACCACAGGGACTACCCAACCAGGACAAAGAGGCAACAAACAGGAGCTAGAAGCCATTGGGCAGTAGGAAAACTATGACATAGCTGTCATTTCAGAAACATGGTGGGATGAATAAATAATAATTTCTTTAGCCTCAGTGACATGCTTTTCTGCCAAAATAATCATTTAAAATAATAAGGAAAGGACATAGTGTTTGCCTTTGAAATTGATAACTAAGAAATGGAGAGATATCTGAAATGGAGGATGCTTTAGGGGTATGATCAGCAGAAGTTCTGGTCTTAAGTAAACAAAAGTCTAAATCAGGATTGTGGTCTACTGTGCTAAGTGTATTGCAAACAAGATGAAGATTTATTATGTATTAACTAATTTGCCATATTTTTAGGCTTTGTAAAGGACAATGGTACAAAAGTACAGTTGTTAGCTACAACTTTTGCTAACCTTATCTAACAATCATGACAAACACCACGGAAAGGAAGGTAATGAAGCGCTCTCTAGCCTAGTTAGAAATCTGTGCAGTTTCATTAGCTGCAGTGAATTTCTTCTCCTTTTACAGAAACCTAACCTGGAATTAAGTGTCCAAGTCTCTGTACTGGTGCAGGGTTGTTCCTTCTGCTTCTGCTTTACTTCTTGTGATTTCTGTCGGTAGGGTGCATAGTGACTCAGTGTGTAGCCTACCTTATTTTGACAAAATTCTTTTCTCTCAATAATGCCATACAGAAAATGGTCCTGTTGTGGTTTTAGACTACATCCACTGTTTTTATAGCTAAAGCTGTATTTGTAAAGTATGAGGTGCTGTCTGCCGTCCTCATGTGCTAACATATGCTTCTCTTCCCTTCTGCCTGTTTTTGTGAAATTTTATTTGAACTATAGCAGAAATGTTTCATAACTTCAATGTCTTTGCAAATAGTTTTTTAAAAATCATTTAAATATAATTTCCTATAGCACTGAAGCTTCTTAAAAGATAAAGCTATTGTACATCAAGGAGAATTTTGCTGTATACATTCATGCATCTAAAGGCAGGAAAGGGCATGCTGTACTTACCTTGTTTGACCTGTAATGTATACAAGGAATGGAAAATTTGGCTGCATGTGTAATGACCTGGTAGCCAGGTAATTTTCCTTATGCCTTAAATTAGGTAACCAACATTCATAATGCATAGAATCTTGCTTGTTGAGCAGTCTAGCATTATATTTTTCAGAGCTACCACTATACTAACTGGTATGATGCTCACATTGAGTGATTTATTTGACCTGAGAAGCCAAAAAATTTCTTTCCTCAAAGGATGTTTTCTGGGGCTCCAAATGATCTAGGTTCTAGTTTTTCACTTTATTACAGTCATGATTAATACATGATCATTTGCAATATATGTATCTGTATATATGTATATATGGTGGGACATTATGTATATATAGTATATGCATCAGCATATATTGGAACATGGTTTTCACTTTGGTCTGTGATTTCAACATTGTTCTGTGGCTTCATCAACCTACTTTAGAGACCTCACAAATAAATCACTAATCATACTCATGAAAGTTATCTCTTTTCTTAGATAAAAGTATATTTATAAAGTACCAGTTTGTATAGAGTATGCTTTGGACATGTCCCACTGTTAAATAAAGCATAATATAATAAGCTAGAATTTGCAATGGCTGCCTGACATACACAAAGGTATTTTAATTAATCTGCATGCAGAAATTAACCCTTAGAGTACTGCTTCAAATACCTCAATTTATTTTGTTATTTAATTTTACCAGTGGGCTATGCTGCTTTTCTACTCAGTTCATAGTATTGTGAATAAAGTACAATAAATAGCCATACACAAAAAAGAAGTGAGAAAAAGGAGAAAAAAAAACCACCCAAAACCAACTTCTTATAAACAAGGGATTCTACAAGACTAAATACCACAGGTTGCTAATGGGTAATGTATTCCTCAGCAACTACTTTTTTTAAGGTGTTGTATTATGACATGAATTAAAACCATGTAATGTTTAGCTGAGGCTTGTTAGGTTTCCTCCTAAAGTATCATAGGTATGTCTCCTGTAGAAAGAAGTCAGTTCTTTAAGGGTTAATGAGAGGTTAAGGAATCCTGAGGTATTATCCCGCTTGTCCTTTCTTAAAGGTACCTGCATGTTAATCCTCCGATATTACCCAAACAGGTGAATATAAAGACTGTATGAATGACTAACAGAATGAATGAAATAATTCATTTGAAATGCTTGCTTGTATCTTGTAAAAGACTGGAAAACAGAAATGTGATTTCTGAATCAAGGTCTTTAATGAAATGCAGAAAAATCTCACGAGAGTAGGAGCTTGTATATTGACAATTTACTCTGGTTTCTTTTTCTTTCAAATAGTCCAATAGAATCCTGCCAGAATTTCTACAAAGATTTCACATTACAGATCGACATGGCTTTCAATGTGTTCTTCCTACTCTACTTCGGCTTGCGTGTAAGTAGTATGTCTTTGATGTCATGAGTCAGGGAGTGAATATAGCTGTTAGATGGGAGTATTTCAAAACAGCCTAGATTTACAATGGCTGGACAAAATTAAGCTGATTTCTAAAATGCATGAGCGAAGAATTTGCTTGAGGGAATTTAGGTAATAGTAATGAGCATCTAAGGTCACTAAGGAGACCAACAGTTTATAAGCTGTCTGTTCCAGAATATTCTTGTGTGGCAGAAAGGGAAAACTATTATAATTCAGTGATGTTGAAGCTAGTTTCAGTGTTCTCGATAGAGTGGTAACTACCTCAGCAAGCCTAGTGAATACTTGATCTATTCCTCTACTGCTAGATATGTCTTTGACAGTTGAAGGTTGAGATAACAGCTGGTAGAGCTGCTGTATTCAGTTTTATGCACATCTGCTTTCCCAGACTGGTAATGAATGTTTTGAGGAACTTGAAATACTAGCCAATATGCTAAAGTGTTTATCATTGGAATTAACACTTTCTGAAAATTAAGTAATGATGGTTTAGGATCTAAAAGTTGGGACATCTGAAAAAGGTAGGCACTGTTAAAAGTTTGGGCCAGTAACGCTTGGAGTTCAAGCTGTTGGGTTTGGGGAATTTTATTTGTTTGTGGTTGTTTTGTTGTTGTTTTATTAAAAAAAAATAAAAAAAAAATGAAAACTAAAAAAAACCTGAAACATAACAGGACTAGCAGGAAAACCTCATTTGAGCAGAAAGTCTGCCACAGTGGTCTTTAAATTTGGTACAAGTACTGCCTCCTGAACTTTGTCCATTTTGTTCCTGAATCATAGGAGCTTCTATGTCACAATGATAGTTGAGTTCCTCCTATTTCACTTCCAACCAACTTAACCATCCTTTTCTGATGATCCAATGAGGAATTTTGTTGCAAATCTAGGTTATTTCATTACCTAGTCTAGGTGCAGTCTTTGGCTAAATAGATAAATTCCCTCAGTATTTGCGCTACTACGTACACATTCTAAGCTGTATTTTAGAAGCATACAGTGTAATAGACCCTTATGCTTAAGGATCTGTGGGGCTTTTGTAGTGTCCACTAGGCCTGCAATATAGGTTAACTTTTTGACATCACAGGTTCAATGCATAGTACTTGTGAACTTCCAAGTACCCTTATTTTAGAAGTATCCAAATGCTCTGGAAATTTTGTGCTAGTGATAAGGTTGTATGTTCTTACTAAGAGAGTTAAAATTACATGCTGGCCACACTTACTCAAGGCAGTAACTTAGGCTACATTATCAAGAAGCAAAGCACAATAAGAGAATATACAGGGAGTGGATGCTAATACTGTGATGTCCACTCTGCATGTTTTTTGGAAGGGGGAGAGACTTATGTAAAGTCCACTTGGATCCTGTGGACTGAACTCACTTTACCAGTTACAGTAGGTGAGATGCACTGCCAGAACCCCTTTTTCAGTTTTAGGTTCAACCAAAACAAATCTTTGTGTTACCCAAAACCACTTTGTGATGCAAACTGAAGTGCGGTAAGTGGAGATGATAAGGATTCATTTCAGATTAGTACTCCTTATCTAAGTTAAAGTGCTAATATACATGTAACTTTAGTTCTCCAAGAGTTCTGCTGAAACAAACAGGATTTCATAAGGAAAAGTTGGTACTTTTGGAGTAAGTAAATATACCAAAAAAAATTGGTACTTTTTTTGAATAACTGGATCAATAATGAATTTGCTAGATATATAATAAGCATCCGTAGCTTTAGCTATTTTACATTTTAACTTTTTTTTTCCTCCTATAAATATCTCCTGTGTGGACTCACTTGCAAAGTGAAGATTTTAAGAAGTATTTTGAAATCTCATCTTTCTCCGCCTGCTCTCCCTGAAATGATGTTGCAACTAAAATCATATAAATATTACCTTATTTTCCGTTCTGAAAGATGTCTGTGTTCAAACGTACATATATCCATTTTAAAATTTTTATTGACTAGTATCCAACTATATGAGAACTCAGAAGTCAAGTCTGCAAGCTGCTGATGAAGAATAAGTCCAAATTGCAGGATTTAGCACATAATCAAGCAATAGTGTCTGGCAGAGATACGGCAAATGTAGAAGTAATCCTTATTTGGAAGTGACAGAATTGTACTAGTGCTTCTGGAAGTGCTTCTTCAGGCATTGTAGGATTTATTCTGTAATGAAATGGGCTTTTATTAATTGCTAATTACCTAAATGAGTAACTGTTCAAATACTTCCACAGAAAAGTGTGAGTGGCCTTTACACTCAACGTATTTTCATTGTTGAATAACACACTTTAACCTTTTTGAAAGCCTAAAGGTTGTGCCCTATAGAAAGATAAAATGCTGACTAGCACACATATTGCAGGTTATGAATGTATTGATCTGACCTCTTAGAAAGCTTTTAGTTCCAAATATACTAAATTCAACAGAATGGAAACAAAAGCTTCTGGGTGTTTTTCTTCAGTTTTCATGCTGTTAAGTTGGTGCAAAGTAATACAGACTAACAAAAAGTCAGTTAAGTTTTAGCTTTGGGTCTTCACTGAGGCAGATGCTGCTCATGTTGCCTATCTTTTATTTAAGTATGATTTCAACACTCTTGACATCAGTAGATTCCCCCTTCCAATACTATAGTTGGGATTCCAGAAAACTTGGTATGAACATTATCTGTTAAAGTTTTAAACTCATTCTAAGGCTAGGAGATTAAGAGAATATCAGTGTTTGCTTTGGAAGAAAGACAATGGATATTGTCTGTAGTTCAAAAAATAAAAACACTGTTTTGAAATATGTTTTAGTTTTGAAATAGTCCAGGGTTTAAAACTTACATGAGTAAAACTGCTCCATTAAATGTCCTCATGATGCACTAGGTTTTTATATTTATTTCTATGTTTAAATTTCATAATTATAGAAAGCATATGTTTTACTTATTACTTGCATGTGAATAGTAATTTGACCTTGTTTAAGCACATAGATGAATAGACAAGTTCAAACTATGGTAATCCTTGGCATCTAAATTTCCCAGATTTCATAGGCTGATTTTGTAGTCAGGAGAGAGAAATGACCTTACCCATGGCAAAATTCAAAGGACTACAGTCCTGCTGCAGCCCTGAATTATGCCATATAGGAGTTATCGTGGTGATTACCTCTTGATAGGATGATAATGGGACTGTTTGTAAACTATGATGTATTTAGAAACCAGTGAACAGCAAATATGTGATGAGAGTGTTACCAACATGTTTTGTGTGCCAGAGCAAAGGTGATAGACTTTGAAATATTTTATACTTACCTACCTTTGTAGTATTACTGATACATTGTTATTAAATGTGGAGAAATTTTTTTAAGCATGGCTATTACAACTCATCATATAAATGATCTTCTTACTTAAGTTTTCTGTCTTTGATTTTAATCATAATGTGGTTATAAGCAATGCACAGTACAACATCAGTTACTGCACCACTAACCGTTGGCATTTGATATTTTAGAATAAAAAATATTCCCCATACTTGCAGGTACCATGAGCATAATCTGATTCTTTCATCCCTCCCCCTCTTTCTTTTTTTCAGTTCATAGCAGCCAATGACAAGCTATGGTTTTGGCTAGAAGTTAACTCAGTAGTAGATTTCTTCACAGTCCCTCCAGTGTTTGTGTCAGTATATTTGAACAGAAGTTGGCTTGGTAAGTAAAATAGCTTTTCCTTTTAATAGATGTTACAAAAATACTTAAACTTTGCACATTTTGATGGAGAATTTCATCTTGTGGCATTGTGTAAGCAGAAGAATGTTGCCAAGCTGTTTTTGCAGTGAATTTCCCATTTCAGCAGATGGCTGGGTTATGTCAGAAAAAGCACTTATTAAGTCAGTTTTCTTGTTAGTCATTAATATAATCTCCTACACTAAGTGGTGGTGAACTCCAGCTTGGAAATACTGTGTAACATGAGGCTGTTTTTATAAAATGGGGCATTTGATGCAAGTGTCTCAGCTTACAACCTGAACAGGTGATCCAGATTGTTTATTTATTCACTGAACTGGATTGCCATGAATCATTGTCAACAGTGAAATCAACAAATGTTCTTCACATTTGTTAAATTTTAAATCCACTGAAACAACAAGTTTGGACGATTTGCTCAGACACTTACTGAGCTTAACATTTGTGTATGACTGCTAGGAGTGCATTAGAAAAGAATATGCCACATATAAAAGGGAGTACAAAATTAAGCAGAGAAGACAAAATAAATCAATTAAGCAACATGCATAATGTGGCATAGGAAGTATCTTGTACAAATTGTATATTCTTTCCAGTTACTTAAAGTGAAGGTCAAAATTTGGAAGTTTTTATTCAGGGAAAACTTCCTAAAATTAGATAACATATGAAAGCTCACAATTTAACAATTCATTTCTTCAGAAATACAGGCACTCATTGTTCCTGAAAACTGAAGAGAGTGGTCATGCTAAATGTTTGATATGGAAAGAAAAATAGAAGGTCTTTTATAGTATTACAGTGTTTTCAATTTTGTACATAAGTGCAAAGATGCTAAAATTATTAATGAATCGCTCTTGTACAAAAAGAGATTAATAAATGTGTAACTATGTTTGAGTTCATACTATATGCATCAGCAGTTAGTAATATGCCAAAGAAGAAAGCAGTAAAACAGCCAAAAAAGATCCCTACATATCCTCATACAATTGCTGTCTTTATCGCATACTTCTGTTGTGTATTTAAAACTAAGTAATGCTTTCTGAAGTAGAAAATGTTATATAGTTCCATATTATGATAGAAAATCAAATAAAAAAAAGAAGGTATGTAAATAAATAACAAGCTTATGTTTAAAAGACAGTTGATTTTACTATCTATAACTCAATCCCAGATTCTTTGTATTATATGAATTAAAGGGATGTATTTTCACACTTGAATGCATATCAGAGTTTCCTAGAACTTTGAGATCGAAATCATTGGAGATGAAGGATATCTAAGAGCAAGTACTAGAATCACGGGATCCATAGAAAAGCATTGTGAGATGAGAAAATAGCAAAACCACAAAATTTGGGAAATGAGGCAAAGAGATATTTGAGATGAAAAGTGACTGCATAACTGACTGACTCATGGTGATACAGCAGTCTAACAGTACCAACAGGAGTAATGAGTTTGCCCATTTAGCAGTTTCTGCTGGATAGTTTTACAAGACTTATGTCATTTTGCAGGCGGAGTTAAGCATACTTATATTTATTCATAAGGTTGAAAGGATTTCCATCTCTCTTAATTACACCAATGTCACTTTTTCTTGATTTCTTGTTTATAGTCCCTCTTTATCTGTTTTCTAACTGAGTCATCCTGAGACATTTATCACTGGCTGAGGTGCAGATTTTTTTTATGTAGTCAGCTTATTTACAATGTTTGAGTTTTGCACCTGATTCCACTGTGTTTATTCCAAAGGGGTTTTCACCTTAGGGAAAATCATCCTTAGTGAAATAATGAAGTAATTAAAAAATGTGAATTACTGGGGTCTCTAACATAGCTAAAATTCAGATCAGCAAGTTATTATTTTCATATACTGTAATGAAAGATTTTTTAAGCAAATACACTGAATTGTATTAATGAAGATTGTCTTTTCCTTTACACCATTTAAAGAGATGGCAAAAATTACTCTGCCTGTGGAGCTCATATATTTTGGACATAATATAGATAATACAGTGGCAGAACTGGGTGAGTGGAGGTGAAAAGAGGGTATTCGGACCACATTTACAGCTTCAGGCTTGATGTCTACTTTTCCTTTGTTGTGGTTTAAGCCCAGAGTGGTTTGGTGCCCAACATGGAGAATGAACGGTTGAGATAATGACAGATCTGACCAGAGTGTGTCTAATTGTATTTGTGATAAGCATTCATTTCGGATTAATAGTCACTCATCACAATCCTGGTTTATTGGCTCTCGAAGTTGTTGCTCTTGATCTCAGTTTCAGCATGTCATACCTTGCTTACAGCAGGTATTTGCTGTGTTAGTGTTCATTGGCTGGGGGCCTTGGTCTAAGGTTCTTGTTTCATTGTACTTTATAGTAGTGACTCGTAGTACAATAGAATTATTAATCATGAAACTGATCTGGCTTGCATTCCCAGTGTGGTCACCACCTCTATACTTTGGGAGGTATATAATAGAAGTGTCTAGCAATTACACATCTTTTTTCCCCTCCTTGGGTGGTCAACCCATGAAGGAGATATTCCCTTATGTCCTCAGCCCCCCACCAGACCATTTACAGCATCATTTGAGAGTTCTGAAAGTTTTGAATGGCCTTTAGGTACCCTTGAGACCTGCCTGCTGATTGTAATGGGGATCACCATGTTGGCACACATACAGAGTGTGTTTTATCCACGACCATTTCATCTGATCTCAAAAGTTAAGCAGAGTCGGGTTTGGTCCTTGTCTAGGGTTAGATGATGATATAGGAGGATCAAGACATTTTCCCTGAGGGTGGACAGTCATGAGTGGCAGGGTGTATAAGATAGTATGGGCAAGTATCTAGGCCAGTGGGCCCCTCCAGTACTTTGGAACTTCATGATTAAACAAGTGCAAAATCCAGAAAAATTAGTTAAGCACTTAAATGAGGTGTGTTGTTATTCTGGCCATACTGGAGAGGGACAAATCATGGCAACATGCCTGGGCTTGGCCTATGCTTATAGGGCCTTGTTCAACACTATCCAGCACCTTCAAAAGGAAAAAATTGTCCCTGGATCTGAGGGCAAAGCAAGTCAGCACAGCTACTCCAGCTCCAAGCATAGCAGCTACACCACCCCCAGTGACAAGTACAGCAGCTACCCAAACCCCAACAACAGATACTGCAGACAGTCCAACCACAGTGATAATCACTGCAGCTAAACCAAAGGACCAATTCATGCCAATATCAGTTGTCCATGTATGCAAGGGGAAAAGCAAAGACAAGAAAGATGAAGAAACAAGATGAAGAAGCAATGGCAGTGCACTTACTACCCAGGACAGCATCTGATCGGGGTCATCATCACATGAATAAGAGGAAGAAGAAGAGGTGACTTCTCGACCTCAGACTTCAGCCGAGCTATGGAGTATGCGAAAAGATTTTACCCGTCAACCAGGGGAGCACATCATCACCTGGTTGCTTCGATGCTGGGACAATGGGGCCGATGGTCACAAACTTGAAGGTAGAGGAGCCAAGCAGCTGGGATCACTTGCTAGAGAAGGTAGGGAATTGACAAAGCAATTGCAAGAGAGAAAAAGTCCCTCAGCCTTTGGAGGCAGCTCTTGGCATCTGTGAAAGAAAGGTTTCCATACAAGGACGATGTTATGAGTCATTTGGCCAAGTGGACTACTATAGAGAAAGGCATCCAGTCTCTGAGGGAATCGGCCATCGTAGAGATGATTGATCACATCAAGCCGAATGCCAGAGATGCACCCATAGATCCAGATGAAGGCGAATGCACACGACCCATGTGGCAGAAATTTACACAGAATGCACCATCATCATATGCCCATTCATTGGCAACAGTAACCTGGAATGACATAGTACCACTAACAGTGGATGAAATGGTTCATAAACTCCGAGAGTTCGAAGACAATCTCACCCCTTCCTCATCTCAGCTGTGGAAAAACTGTCCCAGGACCTCAAACAATTGAGGGGCGATCTATCTGATCTATCCAACTCCTCAATTTTTCTCCATTCCTTTGGCAGCAGGTTGCAGGTCACAGTTCGCTTTTACTTGGAGGGGCGTCCAGTAGACTTGGAACCGACTGCCCCAGGGCTGGAAACACAGCCCTACCATCTGCCATGAACTGATCCAGACTGCACCGGAACAGGGGCAAGCTCCAGAACACCTGCAGTGCATTGATAACATTATTGTGTGGGGTGATACAGTGGAAGAAGTCTTTAAGAAAGGGAGGAAAATAATCCAAATCCTGCTGAAAGCCGGTTTTGCCATAAAACAGAGTAAGGTCAAGGGACCTGCACAGGAGATTCAATTTTTGGGAATTAAATGGCAAGATGGACGTCACCAGATCCCCACAGATGTGACCAACAAGATAACAGTATTGTCTCCCCCAGCTAATAAGAAAGAAATGCAATCTTTCTTGGGTATTCTGGGGTTTTGGAGAATGCACACCCCAAATTACAGTTTGATTGTAAGCCCTCTCTATCATGTGACCCGGAAGAAAAATGATTTTAAATGGAGTCCTGAGCAACAACAAGCCTTTGAGCAAATTAAACGAGATAGTTCACGCAGTAGCCCTTGGACCAGTCCAGACCTGGCCAGATGTAAAAAATGTACTCTAGTAACCAAAGAGAATGGTCCTACCTGGAGCCTCTGGTAGAAGGCTCCAGGGGAGACTTGAGGTCAACCCCTCGGCTTTTGGATTTGGGGATACAGAGGATCTGAGGCTAGCTATACCCCAACTGAAAAAGAGATAACTGCTCGGGTCGGGCTGGGTATCAGTCAGCGGGTGGTGAGTGGTTGTATTCTCTTCCCTTGTTATTTCCCTTATATTATTATTATTGGTGGCAGAAGCAGTGGTTTGTGTTATACCTTAGTTACTGGACTGTTCTTATCTCAGCCTGTGAGAGTTATATTCTTTCGATCTCCTCCCCATCCCTCTGGCAGCCGGGGGGGGGGGGGAAGAAGGGGGTAAAAGGGGGAGTGGGAGAGAAGCTGGGCTTAAACCA